TCAGTATCTTTCCTAATAGAGCTCATCAGAATAGTTTAAGAATGTTATTTATTTACTTATATAGTTATCTACCTATTTGTAGATCTGGAAGGTAGCATGAGAAGAATTATCCAATGAGGACACTACTCAGAGTGTGGTCCTCTGACTCGCAGCATCTGCATCACCTGAAAGATGTTACAAGCGCAGGATCTCAGACTTCACCCATAGACCTACTTTAGAGTTTACATTTTAACCACATCCCAGAAAATTCAAATGCACGTTAAAGTTCAAACAGCACTGGTGTAGGTTCATTTTACACATTAAGATATTGAGAAATTGTTCCTAATACTCATAGCTGGTTAATGATTATCAAAACTCAAGCCCAGATTTCTTGAATTCCAGAACTCTATCTTCTTCCTGCTTTGCTTTCTTCTCTTTGGCACCTTCTTAGGTAATATAAGTAACTCCTTCCATACAACCGCTTAAAATTAATCCAATCACTATCAATGTCCATCATTAATGCCAATGCCAGCTTTGGCTGGATCTGTTTCCCTCAATGACTTAAATTTTGTCAACTTTTTTTTGTTAATATGGTCCCAAATTAGACATTGACACAATGGCTGGCAAAGTTAAAATAAGTGTATTTGTATCCTTTGGCAAAGGCAAATCTACTCGGGAAGACTGAACAAGGGTCTTTGGAGTATTTTTCAGTTCACCAGCAAACTAGAGAAACTGTCCCTGCCCCTCCTCCCCTTCCATTCCAATCAGGAAGAAGCAAAAATGGGCCTGAAAATAACCTGTATTTTCCTAGAATCAATAAAGTAAATGGAACCTAATTTCAAAAGGGTGGCTACGTATAAACCAACTGAGGGAGAAATTTTCAACTTATAACTTTGTGTCAGGAGGAGATTCACAGCCGGTGAGAGTGATTTGAAAGCAGATCATAGGAAAAATTGGTTCTTCTATCACTTTAAAAGGAATGAGTTGAAGAATAGTTTACTTTTTCCAGTCTCTTAAATCATATCAATGAAAAATGACAGCCATTATACAGCAGGAAAGAAAGGAGGAGGGGGCAGCAACAAAATTTTGTCATTGCAGAGGCAACAATTCACTCAGTATTTCAGTTGAAAGTTTGCAAACAAACACAAGAGATTTGCAATGGATTGCAATCATAAAGAATTCTTCAGGGCAGAGCATGGTGGCTCACACCTGTCATCCCAATACTTTGGGAGGCCGAGGCAGGCAGATCATGAGGTCAGGAGATCGAGACCATCCTGGCTAACACGGTTAAACCCTGTTTCTACTAAAAATACAAAAACTTAGTAGGGCATGGTGGCAGGCGCCTGTCGTCCCAGCTACTCGGGAGGCTGAGGCAGGAGAACGGTGTGAACCCAGGAGGCGGAGCTTACAGGGAGCCGAGATCACATCACTGCACTCCAGCCTGGGAGACAGAGAGAGACTCTCTCTCAAATAAGAAGAAGAAGAAGAAGAAGAAGAAGAAGAAGAAGAAGAAGAAGAAGAAGAAAGAAGAAAGAAGAAAGAAGAAGAAGAAGAAGAAGAAGAAGAAGAAGAAAGAAGAAGAAGAAGAAGAAGAAGAAGAAGAAGAAGAAGAAGAAGAAGAAGAAGAAGAAAGAAGAAGAAGAAGAAGAAGAAGAAGTCAGATTCCCCTGTCCTACCATGATTCTTTTAAGTTAAAGTCAAAAGGGATCCTGAGACATATTGCCAGATTCCCCTGTCCTACCATGATTCTTTTAAGTTAAAGTCAAAAGGGATCCTGAGACACTATTGCCATTTGACACATGTGAAAATGAGGCTCAGATGAGTTGAACAACTTTCTCAAGGTCACATAGTAAGGTACAAAACCAGGACAAGGATCTTGTGTTTCTGACTCTCCAGCCAGTGCTCTGACTTGGCAAATACCTACATTTCCTGCCTAAAACGTTTGCTGGATTTCCACACAGGAATCTAGCTTAGTTTTTGTTTTGTTTTGTTGGGATGTTTTGTTATTGTTTAATGCATTCCTATAAGAGACTTTAATAAAAATAGAAAAAATTTCAAGATCTCAGGGAAATAAAAATATGTGGGTTCATTTTCGAGGAATCTATTATCTGGAATTTAAAATGTTGACCATCTTTTTATGGTAATAATATTTAGACTTAGAGATCTGGGTCGAGTATGAGGAAGGTCAAAAGAAATCTGTTTGCATCCATTGGCAAAGAATAGTGCATTTAGGAAGACCAGACAGGGGTCCTTGAAGTCTTTGGGGCTTAATTAATATCTCAGTAGTATGTGCGGCTTTTTGGTACTGCTCCTACTTCTGTTTTCTAACTTTAGGGAATGAGAATTTGGCCTCAAAGCTACAGACAGCTGTGAAATTCAATGCTCTATTGGAGCATTTTAAGTAGAACATTTGGCCCTTTGGAGGTAACTAAATGGGTTTCACTTCTACAGATTTATAGAACTTGCTCTTTTGCCCAAATTTCTACCTCTTCCGGCTGACTCACTCCCAGCTCTTTCAAATTGAGCCCTTCATTACTCACAGTCTGTATAATATGTAAGATAAGCTGGGATCAAATTCATGCAAGCCTGGCAAAGATTATTTCCTTTCAGATGCTAGAATTTTACCCATCTCTTTTTCTACCATAGTGACATACTGGAAAGTACAAATTGCAGATTGTGTAGTCTTGCAATCCAGGAATGAAGCCATGGTCTACAAATGGTTTTCAACTTTGGCTGCCCATTACAGTGATCTTGGGAGCTTCAAATAATCCCCACGTCAGGCTGCTTCCCACTCCAATTTCATCAGAATCAGCCAGGTGAGACCCAGGCATTGGCATTCTTTAAGCAACTGCTCATGTGGGTCCAACGTTTAGTTAAGTCTGAGAACCAGTGGTTTAAAACAGCTCTTCTCAAACTTTAGTGAGAATTGGTTATAACCTGGATGCTTTTAAAAACAGACCCCTGGGTCCAACCACTGGTCAGCAGATGAGTTGCCTCAGTGCTCCTCAAACTGCGGCTCACAACCAGTACAATGGCATCACCCAAGAACTTGTTAAAATGCAAATTCCCAGATTTTGCTCAAGACCAAATTACAGGAAGTGGAACTCTTAAATCTTCAGCGATGATGGTGTACACTAAAGTTTGAATGCCATTGGTCTAAAGAAGCTAGTAAGAACTGTATAACAATGATAACAACTGAAAATAATATTGACAATACTAATATTTCAGTCACCCATAAATTGCTCATTCTGTTGTTTGATACCATATGTCCCTGATAACTGCAGAAGGCCTGGGTTAAATCCACTTGTGAGTGGATTTCCCATCCTATCTCGTTCATCTGAGTGAACCTTGATGATCCTCTCTCAGTCAGTACTCATCAATGCTGAGGTTTCCTCAGAAGATGAGGCCCCTCCTTGCTAGGCTACACCTCCAAAAAGAAATTAATAGCAATATATCTGTCAAAGGCCCAGATTCTCACTTTTGATCAAGGCTAAAAGGGGGCAATTTAATTTGAAAGAAAAATCCAGGGCATATCATTGGGGAAAAGTATCCAGGATAAAAATATATGTGGGAGACCCAGTATATTGCTCTGGCTTCAGTCAGAAATGATGTTCTCACTCAAGCTTCTAGCCTGCTTCATGGGGTCCAAGCAGGCTCTGGACATAAAACATAAAGGAGAAAGAGCTTCTACTTGGATGCAAACTTCAATCCCATTTTTCAGCCCCTCTTTCTCCAATACAATTCCCTAGATAAAACATCTGGTCTCCCTTTCTTAACTACTGTCATCTGCCAGGTCCCCTGAGGTAACTGAGTCCCAGCATTTATTTTATTTTTTCTGTTCAGCCATTGTCTCTGTGGGGTAAAAACTTTTCTAGAGTTGAAACAATGCATCAAAGTCACTAACAATTTCAGGGTTAACTTTCAGTATTTTCTCTTTTTTTTAATGGAGTCTTGCTCTTGTCACCCAGGCTGTAGAGCAGTGGCACTGTCTTGGCTCACTGCAACATCCACCTCCCAGGTTCAAGTAATTCTACTGCCTCAGCCTCCAGGCACCTGCCACCATGCCCAGCTAATTTTTATATTTTTAGTAGAGATGGCATTTCACCATGTTGGTCAGGCTGGTCTCAAACTCCTGATATCAAGTGATCCACCCGCCTCACCCTCCCAAAGTGCTGGGATTACAGGCATGAGTCACCACACCTAGCTACTTTCGTTATTATCTTTATATCTTTAGACATGAGCAGTATCATAAGCTCTTTCGAGCTAGCTTTTTTTTTTTTTTTTTTTTTTTGACACAATCTCTCTCTGTTGCCCAGGCTAGAGTGCAATACCGCGATCTCGGCTCACTGCAACCTTCGCTTCCTGGGTTCAAGTGATTCTCTTGCCTCAGCCTCCCGAGTAGCTGGGATTACAGGCCCCCGCCACCACACCCAGCTAATTTTTGTAATTTCAGTAGAGATGGGGTTTCACCTTGTTGGTCAGGCTGGTCTTGAACTCCTGACTCAAGTGTTCCACCCGCCCCAGCCTCCCAAAGTGTTGAGATTACAGGCGTGAGAAGTCAAACCCAGCCAGAACTAGCTTTTTTTAACCAGCGGAACTCCAAAACTGAGAGAAAGTTTAACCACCCCAAAATCTGTGGCTTTGGTATGCTGATTATTTCAACATATCAGTGGGCATTTGAGGAACAGCAACATATCAAGTGCATCTGGGGAACAGCAAACGCAAAAGAAGGGCTTTTCTGACCTTCTGTATCTGCCTAAGGAAGAGATTCTTCAAAAGAGACTCAGTTGTCATGAATCCTTTCCCCTGTAATCTTATCAACCAGGGAAGATGAACTCAAATTACAAGAGACAAGACTGGAGGTTGACTCATGCCCACACAGACTATTAACAATTATCTGAGGGCTGCTCCCAGACTTTTTTTTTTTTTAATACTCCTGATTTTATTATTTAATTTCTTTTTTTCGTTTAATGTAGTCTTCCGTGGTTGGGAAGCCTCACCTCCCAAGACCAGAGTCAGTTGGAGCTGGTTGTTGTTGGAAAGGAGTGGGTTGGGGAACTGGGGTGGGGGAGAAAGGGAGACCCCCTGCTCTGCTGGGGGTCCTAGGTGGAGAAGAAGAACTGTACTTCACAAAGTCTGGGGTGTGGTGGGAAGGGGATGAGGCAGAAGTAGCAAGCTGGGGAAATGGGACCCACCTCAGTCCCCAGTTTCATTTTCTTCTAATGTTTCCCCACTGGTGGCATTCTCCACAGTCTTGGAAGCCTTTTCTTTTTTTCTTTTTCTTTTTCTGGGTTTCTTGACTTGCAGAACTCTGAAGGAGGGCCTTTAGCTCTGCATCCTGGACCTTCATCTCAGACTTGTAGAGGTCAGGCTCAAAGGGACCACTGGTTATCTGCATGGGGCCATTGGGCATGAGCAGAATTGCAAATTTAAACTGGGCAACAAATTCCCCCTCCTTCTCATAAAGAACATTAAATGGTTGTAGCAGTCCATGCTTGGTGCACTCCACCACACCCATCCAAGCCTTCTTCTCATCTTCAAATGCTCTTAAAGTAAATGGCATGGCATCAAAACGCCTTTCCACCTCACTGAAGAAGGCACGTGAAGTTTTCATTTTCAGTTCATACTGTTTGGAGGGATCTCATTTGTAAATAGTGGTTCTCTGTCCTGCATTGTTGACCTTGCCCTCTCCTAAGCTGACGAGAACATCCACAGCATATACTTCACATACCTCAAATTCAGCTTTTTCTTGGTCCTTCTTCTGCTGGTCTATGGGATTCTGGATAATGTTTTTTTCACCGTTGATGACATGCTGCTTCAACTGGTGTGACAGCATACCTTCTATCGGCATCCAATTAAATGAGTGAGCAATTTTGTTCCACGTCTGTCACTTGTGTGTTCTGATTTCTAGGTTTGGCCAGGCATAGGGCAGCTTCAGCACAAAGGTGAGCTGTCTTAATAACATCTGCTTTCCTCCCTGTTACTTGGGTCCCCTGAGCTACATCAACCACCAAGGTATGAGCTACATTAGCGATTAAGCTGTCCACATGGAACCCAAGGTCAATTTTTACCAAGTCACCTTCCTTAAGAATATAATCCTGGCTGCTCTTCAAAGGGAAGAAGTGACATACAAAGTTATTTACTGAAATGCTTGTGGGAAAAGCAATACCTTTCTTCATTTCCTTTTCTTTCTTGAAGATTTTCTCTGTTTCTTCCGTGATCATGGCATGGCCTTTCTCACACAGGCTCAGTACTAACACACCTGAGCTAGATGCTTCCACCAAGGTCCGAAGTACCTGGTTGGCCATGTCGCACCGTGCCCCCCGCTCGCCCCCCATCTTATACTTGGTCACCACCAGGTCCTTGGCAATAGTTTGCTCCTGCTGCTCATCCCTGCCTGACTTCCTACTACCACCACGGTAGTCTCATTTCGCCTGAGCCACCTCCTCTCCCAGACAACTTCTATTACCCGAGAAATTGTATCTGCATAACACGACCACCTCTACTCATCATACATTTTTTCTTGTCATCCACTCTTAACTTGTGTGGTCATCACCCCCAAGAAGCCCTAAGCCGTAATTTTTTTCTATAGCTCAGGAAACTATATAAGCTTCAATCATCTGACCAATCTTTGAGTCTCATATTTTTGGGGACTCCAGTGCCTATATATGTAATTGTTTATATTTCTCCTGTGAATCTGCCTTATGTCAGTTTAATTTGTAGCCCAACCAAAGAACCTAGAAGCGTAGGGGGAAGCTAGATTTTACTTCTCCACAAAGGGTTCAGATGATCTGATCATTGATGCACAAATCGTGACTTCCTGGCCTCAATCTCTCTGAGCTCCGTCACAAAAGCTTTGAGCTTTTGAGCACAAGTTGGTCTTTTTCTTCCCTAATTAAAATGCTACCTCACTTCACTGTACAAGGTAAAAACAATCACTAATGTTTCAGACACTTGATCGACATCAAGGAAACACATTGGAAAATCAGACCAAATATTTTCACTTTGAAAATTTGAGTGGCAGGACCAGGAATCTGCCTTCTTCAAAGAAAGAAAGAAAAATAATTCTAAGGCGAAGCTGACCTAAGTTAAAACTTCCCACAGAGAACAGCAAGCTTCCTGTGTGGGGTGTGGGTTGTGCATAATATTTTATTATTTCCCACGCATCTTAGCTTACAAACGTGCAAAAGCAGCAGAATGCCCAGAGTCAGGAAAGACGCACAGATTAAATAATTGCAAAAGAGCCTTAAACAATTGCTAGTTTCCAGTTTGGGTTGCTCTCTCTTTGTTTATGAGTTTTTATACAACAGCTTTCCCCCTTAAAATTATATTTAATAAGAAATTAGGTTCACCTTGCACATTGAGGTATCTCCTCCTTTAGGAAGGTGCTCTGTAACCAAGAAGCTGAATGCTAATGCAAGGGTTGCTATGGTAAGCAATCTTTTCTAGTGAGCAGGAGAATAAATAGTTGCATAAATTCCTAAATCAATAGTGGAGACTGAACAGGATATAACCAGGTATTTTAGCCTCTAAATATAGTTATGGAGCTAAAAGATAATGTCTTCTCTGTAAAATCCTAATATAATTATAGATTCTTCAGTAAATTTTGTGTTCACCTTTTGAAGCTGATTGTCAGTGTTTTTTCAGAGTTTTTATATAACCCTCTACCCGTTTGTTGAAAAAAGAACCCATTATTTTAGTCAGATAAAAGCAGCTGAAAAAAAAAAAAAAAAAAAAAAAAAACCTGCTGATTTTTATAGCTGGGAAAAGGAGCATGCAGAATTAGATCCTAATTAATGAATGCTTAATGAGCCAGAAGTGCTTAATGAACATTAAATAATAACAGTAAAATAGGTATGCTTTTTAAAAAACATGATCTACCTGAAGAACTTTGTTTCATTTCTTGAGAAATGTGACTATTCATAGGATGGATCTCCTCTTGCCGATCTCTCTGTTTTTCACCTGAGGTCAAGGAAGATCTTCATTGTCTGAATCAGTGGGCCCCATGCCTCCTGGCTTTCGGGTGGATCCACCCAATAGGAGATTGGAGGGAGGGAGCAAAGTGCAATTTGGCTCCCCCTGTGCCAGGTTACTGCAAGTTGGCTGAGATTCTTTACCTCCAGCCACAGCTCCTAGGTGCTAGTTGTTTCTTCCTCCTATAGCCCATTCCATCTTAGGAATGATAAAGAGCCCCTCACTACTGCTAGCTCCAGAGGTTTCACAATTCCTTGTTTCTCTTAATCACGCCCACCACCTTGTAAACATATTCCTTTAACTGTCCTCAATTTCCCCACTTGAGTGTGCAACTAATTCCTTCTGGAGTCCTGACCACTACTCCTAGAAAGTCCATTTGCCATACATAATAAAATAGCTGTATTAAAAGGCACACTTAAATGTTTATTTAAACACATGTTTTTAAACATATACTTCAAGATATAGCTATGTCTTTGGGCTATTTCAATGCCAAATTTGCTACCTCTCTGTTGAAATAATTTGTAAGGTCAAAAACACTCGCTTTCTTACAGTCTTATGAATCACTCTACTTCATAATTTGTATTTTATTTACATCCTGTTTCCTGAATATTTTCTACATCTTCTCTATCATAGTAGATGCTCTAAATGGCTTTTGTACTCACATAGAAACAAAAACAGACAGCAAGAAAAGGGCGTAAAAACTCAACCTGATATAAGGTGCTGTGATGATGTTTTCCTTTGTGTGTCTTGTCTTTTATTTCCATTGGTAACCTTCATCTGACAGCTAATGCCCTTTGAAGGGTGACCCCTAACTTAGTATTTGTTCTCTCTCTATTCTAGATTGTTTTGGATAAATCTATAATTTGTAACTGATGAGAGACATTGAGAAAAAAACTAAAACAAAAAACAAAACATAAAAAAACTTTGACTCTCAGCAAAGTTGGCTGGTACTTTATCTTGGAGCCTTAAGGGATGGTGAAATAGGGGTTTTAGATAGGAATAGGGTGTCTTTCTCTTTATCTAGCTCCTTCCTCCAAAGGCTCTGTTTTCCTCCATATCCTAATGCCTAAGACTATCTCCCTTGACAAAGAGGAGTATGCAAACATCAGGAAGGAGGCAGTACCTCTATTCCCCCGGCAGAGACTCATGTCATTAGCACAAGCCTTGAACAAGGCTTAGCCCTCTCTGCAGCTTCATTGGGTCCCTAAAAGAATAGTAATTTTCCAGACACATTATCAATTCTTAGAGGAATACTGGGCGATTGTGTGTTAGGAACTTTCTCTGTGCATGATAATGTTGGTGGCAAGGACCTTCGTCTCTTACCAATCTGTGAGTAATACACTGGATAGAGCCCCAGGGAGCTGAAGAAGTTAGAGCAGCTTTCAAAACTGCCTAATTTGCAACTGAAGAATAGCTTAGGCCCAGAGATAAATAGACTTCTTAAGTTTAAAGTGGAAAATCACAAAGTTATAAGCGAAATGTAGCCACATATACCTATGACTAAGTCTACATCACCCTCTTATTAAACTCAAAAATAGACTCTTAAAACAAGCTGGAAGAATCTACTAACGCTGAACACATGCAAATCCTACACCCAGGAATTCTACTTATAAGTGTATACCCAGAGGAAATGTGTCCATAAGTTCAACAAAAGATATAGTAGAATATTCACAGAAGCACTGGTCCTAGTGGCTAAAATCTAGTAGAAGTTTCTAAATTGTCCATATTTATATAAAATATATAGATAAATTAATGCTATATGGAATGAGAAGTAATGATCCACAACTATATGCAAAAATACAGATGAATTTCAGAAGCATGTTAAGTGAAAGAAGTAAGACAAGAGCACATAGTCCGTGACTCCTTTTATCTAAAGCACAGAAAAAGGCAAAACCAATCTGTGTTAACCAGAGTAAAGATAGTGATATCATTTTTGGGGCACAGTGACAGGAAGAGAGACTTAGGGGAGGGTTTTCATTATTCTGGTAATATTCAGTTTCTTGACTGGGAATAGTTTCTAGTTCAATACATTTTCTAAAAGTTAACACACCTCATAGAAAGAAAGGGTGGCTAGGAGTCCAACGGATTTAATGCACAATCATTAATCTATTGGCCAAGAGCCTTTAATCTTCCCTTAGAATACGAACAGAGCTGGATTAATGGGTGGTCCATCCAGGCAGCTGTCTGAGGTGCCATTTTATGCTAAGGCCTGTCTGGGGATAGGAGATATAGAAAATTGTACCTGTCAGAATTTCTTCCAGAGATAGCATTGCACATGTTTAAAAAATGATCCTTTGATAAACAGTTAAATTTAGTAGAATACCCACAAAATAGTTGCAAAGACCTTTATTATGCATTAAGAAAGCTGATTAAAGAAAATGGCTACAATTCATTAATAACCTCTGTGACAGTTTGTTTTTAGCATTTAGCAACTATTCTCTACTTTCTCTTTCACTGTGGGCAAAGAATGTGTCCAGGCATTGATGCTGGGCTTGGCTAGGTGACCTGCTTTGGGTAATAAAATGTTGGTAGACCTGAATTGTAATCTGCATTTGTAAAGAGAACGTAAATTTCTTGTTTAGTGATACAATGAAAAGTGGAAGCACTAATGTATAAAGAAGCTGTTATCATTTCTGTTTTATAGGTTGAGACTCCAGATTCTTCATTTTTAACAAGCTCCCAGGTGGTACTGATGATGCCAGTCAATACACCACACATCGAATACATAGTTTTATATCACAATGTCTTCATCTATAAAAATGGGGATCATAATACCTACTCATAAAGTTGTTCGGGGGCCAATTCAAATGCTGTGTCTAAGTTTCTTAACACTGTGCACAATGAATGGTCATTTCTCTTATTACCTTCTACTCCATCTCAGACTATAAAAGAGGAGAGCAAATACATGTGGCAGGTTTTGTATAAAAAGTATAAGATATGGGCAGGCGCGATGGCTCACTCTTGTAATCCCAGCACTTTGGGAGGCCGAGGCAGGTGGATCATTTGCGGTCAGGAGTTCAAGACCAGCCTGGCCGACACAGTGAAACCTCGTCTCTAGTAAAAATTCAAAAATCAGCTGGGTGTGGTGGTGGGCACCTGTAATCCCAGTTACTCAGGAGACTGAGGCAGGAGAATCGTTTGAACCCAGAGGGCAGAGGCTGCAGTGAGCTGAGATCACACCATTGTACTCCAGCCTGGGCAACAGAGAGTGACTCCATCTAAAAAAGAAGTATAAGCTATATAATGAGGACGTGAGTTCAGTAATATCTGTGTCACTCGCTAGCTGTGCAAACTCGGGTAAGTCCTTCAGCTTCTGTGAATCTCAGTGTTCTCATCTGCAAACGGAGATCATAATGTCAACTTCTAAAGATTATGAGGA